ATAGTAGGCGCCGTTTCATAAATAAAATTCGTTGTTGTTTCAATGGACCCAACATGAGACGCAAAGATCACAACTGCGTTTTTTTCTTTCAAGTCCTTAGCCGCCGCGCTCACCGTCGATGGACCGACGTGGCGCACACTCAACACATGACACGCAAACATTTTCAAGCCCGCTATCAATGCCTCATTATGGTCCAACTCCGGCCAGATGAGCCTGGAGTCGCGACTGGACACGTAAGTCAGCCCCCCCCAAGACCGCACCAGCCCGTGCACCCGCACACCTCCCTACACGGCGTCCACACACGCATAGGCCTGCTGCCGCAGCCTAAACGTGCACGGTATCTGTACGGCTTATGATTCTTAAAAAACGACGAGTTGGTGCGCCGCGGCACTGGAAGACGACAAGCAAACAAAGCGGTGAGCCAACGCCGCGACCTACAGCGCCTCAGTGTGTGCGCTGTCCCCACGTCGAGGAGCTTCCGATGCTCATTTGAGGTTGATTGATTTCCGTAGTGTAGTTGCTGGGTAGTAATGAACGTGTGGTGGTTAGCAATGGGACTGCGGTAGATAATAGCAGATAAACTCGCTGAATAGAAATAGAATGGGCGTTTATTATCGATAAACACCTGCATCTTTGACCCCTAATCTTCTTGGAAGTGGTCTCCGATTGGTGACTCACCCCTTCGGTACTACGTATGGCATAGCATCACCCACAGGGCGTCCAACATGCTCGTTTGTTGCCTATTACGTGGAAGCAGATGAAATTGTTGGTTTCGAGGATACCTAGTGCGTCATATGCTGCGCAACGCTGAACCTACGAGAGTCGTTCCGCGTATATCCAGTTGCGAAGAGATGAATGCCGATGCTTGTGGGGTAGGACCTCTTTGTTGCAGATTCAGATACTCTCTCAGTCGCTCCGTAATTATTGATCCTCTAGGGTATAGGCCATGATCATACCCAGTTTGAGACCATGGGGCGGTTCGTGAAGGCGATAAGTGGTGCCGGCGAAGATCAGTTGGGTCATTCCCATCGCCAGACGGCTGACACTGATCAATGCATACGTTCGTGCATACTTTGGCGCTAGCTTCCTGGCATCAGTGTCGACAACTGTACCAGAGAGGAGGCGCGTGGGGTATTGATTGACTGGGACGTGTTTTCGGTTGATCCCACGCTAGTAGTAAATTACTCATGGATTTGAGTGGGATGAATATATTGAATTCTGTATAGTGTTGGATGGAGGGTGGTCTGCGGACCAAAGGCGCGGTTGGACCATCCCCGCCGACTCGGCGCCCCCCTTCAGATGCCAATCGCCTCATAGATCCTGTCCAAGCGGACACCGCACTTATCATGGCCATTCGGGTAGTAGCCTTTATAATAAGCCCTTCTTTGGGCTGTAGTGAGCTTTTCAATCGCCGCTCTAGAGGTGAGCGGCGGAAGCCTTTCCTGAAGGCCATCGTTAGATACGATTGGTAGACTGGCAGTGGCGGGGTGCTTACTGCTTGAGGGTCCCGAAGGCCTGGAAATAAGACGACCTCGAATAAGCGCTTTGCCCTCCTGGTTCTGGATCCGTTGTATAGCTACGATAAAACGGATGGTGGTGGACACGGCGAGCCTCGCAAGGCCTCAGAGGCGCGCACGCCAGCGACGCATCACACAAGGTAGGAATGAAGGATTGGTTGATGTCTACAACACGACGCTACATAGTGCTACGGTCACGTGACTTTCCGGCACGGATGCCGCCGATGCTGGAGCTGGGCGCTGGCGCGCCCGGCTCCAGTGGTCTTAGGCCACTCGCGATGGCGGACCTTCGGTTTTTAATCGCAAACGATTTATTGGCCTGTCCAAGCTCTTACTCGAATTGCTCGCAGGAGTATACTCATGGCATCCACAAACCACGAAGGCGGAGCGGTGCCGGTGCCTCCAAACTCGTCATATTGCGCAGCCACAGACCTGACCGCTACAAGCAGTATCTGTCAATAGCTATAAATGAGAGGCCCGAGGGTGTCTGATTTGCCTGCCCGCCTAGGCCGATTGGCTAGCATAGCGCAGTTACTGAATACTAGTAATGAATGTACGGTGAGTAGCAATCTGGGTGTTGTATTAGGTCGGAATAACTCACTGAATGATCAAATAGGAATGGAATGGTCGATTAATTTTTAACGTTTATATTGACGGGCCTATTATAAAGGCTTAGTATCCGAACGTATTGGCTGCATTGATCCATTCGTCACTACTAAGGTAGACGGCTGAGGTCCTCTGAAGGGCCATTGTTGGGTACTAGTGACATTGGCCAAGGGGTGGCAGGTTTCAGGCTACGGCTTCGGGATCTCTTGCGTCTGGAAATAAGACGACCGCAAATCGAGGTGGTACTATTTCCAGACGCGAATAGACAATTCGCCTCAATAGCCTTGGATTCGCCGTATATGTAGCTGTGATACAACAGGTGGTGGGCGTAGGGAAAAACCGATCCAGTCAGTGAGTCATGCAGCAGTTTTTGTCCCATTTGCTTATCGCCTCCCACGGTCCAGACGCCCACCCTTCTTGAAGTTCTTCACCTACATACCTCGTGCACCTCTGACTTCCAACAAGAGAGTCTTACTACGGGACGCGCTTCTCGCAGCGGGAGCTCCCGTGTTTCTCCCAGCCCTACTTGGACATTTCCATCCTCATCATACCTGTTGTTGGACGAGGCTAAGCCGTTAACCCCTGCGTACATCAAAGTCAAGCGATAACCCAGGCGCAGTGCTCCCCACGATTCATACGTTCGCGGGGCTGACACTCCCATGCATCGTCCCCATACCCTCCCACAGCCGCTGATGAGCTATACGACATTACACACAAATCCAGAGGCTCAACACACTCCTGAACGCGCATAAACGGTAGATAGAAACCCACAAAACGAGGTAAATTGCGGGAGGGCCCCGCCGACGGGACAAGTATAACGCGCGATTTTCGCCTCTTCAGCGTCCACGTCGAGTTATCTATCAGGGCCAGACCTCTACTTGTGGACTCTCGCACGAGGAATGCAAGTCTACGATCCATGCGGCTGTCTGATAGGCCCAGTGCTTGGAAGGACGGCATCACGCAAGTTTCCGGAGGACACGGGGAGCGACGGCGAAACCCAAGCTGATTCTGGACGAATATAGAGGAATCGAGGGGTCGTTGGTCAGCCACATGGAGGTACACGGAGGCACTAGGAAGAACCTTATGGTATATACACGTAACCGAGGTTCATGACATAATATGTTCGAAGCCCTTGGCCTCCGAGCGATCTCCAGTACATAAAAGTGTTTTCACAATGCTACTGAACGGTTCAATTTACAGCAGCGGAGACTAGTCTCCGCTAGATATCGCTTGATGGGTATCGGTAGACGAGCTAATCGGATTCATGATCATACATCTCTGTGGCGGTGCTTCACCATCCTCCTCGTTTGCCCGCCGCTACTGCAAATTCCAGCGACGATACAGTCCCTCCAGGCCGCATACATCAGAACCACAAAGCTCTGCCCCTCAGGACTCCCCCTCGTGTACGGAGTGGTGTCCTTCCACGCAAGCGGATTGACGGCCGGGGTCACGATTCCAGTGTCAGTGATATGGGGATTTCCATGGCGGTCTTTTCCTCCAAGGACAGTCCTAAACCCGTCCGCCCACTTTAGGTGCCTCTCCCCGAACAAATGTGGCTGCAACATCGCCATGCGATAGACAGTGGCGGCTAGAAGCGAGCTGCCCGAGATCTCCCCGAATCCGTGCCCATTCGAATCTAAATCATTCAAGTAATTCCTGAGCAGCCCATCGTCGAGCGGTGCTGCCATGGCACCATCGATGATCTCCGAGATCCATCCCCCGAGCTGGTCGATTGCGTTCTGGCGCCACGTCGCATTCTCGGCCACCGGGGCCTTCATCACCGTTGCTAACACGCGGGTCATCCCTGCGGCTGCCCACGCATTGCCCGTCGACCACAGACCCGGTATCCTGGGACTCGTTGCCGATGATGTGCTGCCAGGCGCCTGCGCATGTCGGGGTTTCATGCGCTTTCAAGATGTGGCGGTAGTGCCCACACTGCCTGACGCTCTCTTGCAACATTTCGGCGTCCCCCTTGTCTGCGGCGTAGAATGCAAGGAATGTAGGTGCCATATACATGAAGTCAGCCCTGACAACTGGTGAGCGGCCGTTGTAGGATCGGGCGAGACGTGGACTCACCAGAGCTCAGGCGTGTTCGCGCGCTGGGAGATTGCACCGTTCCAATATCGAGGAGCCTGCTCCAAGAGATATCTGACGGTCTCCGCTGCGGCATCTGCATATGCCTTGTCCGTTTTCCCCAATAGCACGGCGCTGGTCCCTAGACTCGCGGGGTCCCCGACTGCACCATCTCCCGGCGACAGTGCGTTCTCACCCTTTCCGATGACGATCTTCTGGGCAGCGTACGCCATCGCCTTGATGTCCTTCTTGTCCAAGCTCGGGAGGGGGAATGGCTTGGCACCGAATACCGAGATGTGAGGATTATAGAGCTCAAGGAGAGCCTGCGCTGCTGTGCCATATTCCCAGGAGTGGGATGGAGTGGATTCTGCCAGGCTGGCGACCTTTGCGACATCAAACCCGGGTGGAAATGGGATGGGCATGTAGTTTGCCATGAGGCCGATGAGTAGATTTTTGGTCTGAATGAGTACCATGATAGGCGGGGGCGCCGAACGGCGCGGAAGTCTGGTTTAAAGGTGGACGAAAGTGAGAAAAGGAGGTTTCGAGGAGGAAGTACAAAGGATATGTCTGGGCATGGCAAGACCTGCCATTAGCGATGCTGTGGGTATAGGGGTAGGATGGTTAGCGATAGTGGTCAATAATATAAACTCAGGGGCTCCAGTGATCCCCCGATTATTTTATCCTCCTCGAAAATGAGTCTAAGATATTCTAATCAGCGCTCATGCCAACAAACAGTCCCGTCGCTGTCGCAACTATACCCCATCAAATGCAATATGTCGCAATGAGAACCGCACCAAAAGCGAAGGGCCCAACCGAGAATTGAACTCGGGACCACACACATTTGAACAGACGACAGTCTGTGGGGACAAGACCCGAAGCGTGTATCATACTACTAGACCATTGGGCCGCCGAAAGCGGGAGGCCTGAATTCCCGCGCCGATTGTTGGTTATTTTCGGCATCACTGATAGATCAATTATAACATATCTGATGCAGGTATCCACCGCGGATCCATGACTGGAATGGCCTGTATTATTTCTGACATATTTTCTGCCGTAATATCAGTACGTAGAAGAGTTTACAGCTTCAATTTGAATATTAATGGATCCGGAGGTGGTCAGTGAAGAGGATAACTAATTACTTTCGCGTGTCAATCCGGGAAGAGCCGAGCCATGCGTTGGCTAAGAAGTTCCCACGAGGATCCAAGAAGATTTTGTTGGCAGTTGTCTTGTTCGTTGCTTCTTTACGCTGTCCACGTCGTTTGTCTGTCCTCCCCCTCTCATCCCAGTTAATCCCCTTCACAATGGTCAATATTCTGTCCCGAATTGCCGTCGCCGCCACTCTTGTTGGGCTTTCTGCTGCTCAGCTCCAAATTATCAGTCCCGGAGGACCCGATTTGTGGTGGGGTGAGTTTCAGTTCGAGAGTTTTCCCGGGGGTAGCAAACTCAAGTTATGTGTCAGTTGCAAAGTCGATAAACACCCTTACATGGACATGCCAGACGTCTCCTTTCCAGACGTATACCGTTCTGTAAGTCCTCTAGTTTTATCGTGCTCAAAATGGGCTCACAAGTATTCTAGGATCGCTAACAAGGTTTGTCGACGTTGACCAAGTTATTTGTGATGCTGAAAGTTATTTAGGACCCTAAAATTCTTCCTGCACCCATGGCGTTCATCGGTGTCCAAAACAACTTTGATTGCTCCAAGAGCATTACCCCGGACCAAGTTAACCAAACGCCCGCAACTGGCTACACCATCCAGCTCGCTGATACACTGAATAGCACCAATGTATACCGTTACACTTATTTCTCGACATGTGCTTACGCGGATTACGCAGATATTCGCAACCTCCCAAGAATTCGAGATTAAAGCCCTCGGCGCAGCATATCCAACGACCACATCTGTTCCAGCTGGTGCATCTGGGTCTGCTACTGGCTCTGGGTCGAGTCCCGCGTCCACTGGAAGTACAAATTCAAAAAGCGGAGCAAGTGGGATTGCCGATGCCAAAGTGCTGAGCGGGTTCGGCATGGCTGCCGTTGGTGTTGTACTTGGCTTGATGACTGCCTAAAGATTTGATGGATGATGAGCGATGAACTCAGCATGGGATACTGCTTTCGGCTTTGTACCCACCCGCTTACGAACGATCCCCTGCTTTTTGGTTTTTCATTCTCCTTTTATTGCTTTTGCTTACTGGATTTATTTCCTACATTCCTCCGTTTGCGAACTATACCATCCATTATACGCATAGCCCCCACGAACTAACATGTTATACAGTTCGTGTGATCATTTCCTGTTTAATAGCACACTCATTTCTGAATCACACTCGTTGAAACTATATGGGTGCGGTCCCATCAATTACAAGCTAATGATTCATCCCTGGCAAGTTTCTCTTTGCTCTTGGGGTTTCACTGATAGATAAGAACGACTATCTTTCTCCTATTGTCTGACCACAGGAGACTAAGATTTGATTCTGAGTCAAATTGCTTGCTGCTATGGCCCACAAATTAATTTCTTAGTGAAGGTCACTAACCACGATTGTTGTAGACGTTCAATGTCGGACACCTCCAGCGAAACCAGCACACAGGAAGGCGATGACTCCTATGGCCCGACGGTGCGTCGGCCTCACAGCAGCCAACACTACATGAGACTCGAAACTGTATCTGCGATGTACCACGAAATTACTGGACGAATTGTCGGGCCCATGCCTATCGGGGAATTCTTCCGCGAATTTCTGCCCAAATGCCCTCCTGGAATGCCTTCATTGGCCGAGACGCATCGCACATTCAAGGCAATCGGTGATGTGTCATCTGAATTCGACATGTACTCGCGCTGGGTGAGTATGATGAGAAGTAGCCAGGCACATGGGTAGTAGGCTGACTGTCTCATAGATTGATGCAGCTACCCCCTCTTGTTGCCCGAATTTGGAGCTAGTTGATACACATGCTCATCCAGCCCAGGCTTTCGATGACAAGGAAGTCAAACCTGACGTGACCGTCTATCTCGCGAACTCTGGGAGGACTATGACCAGCGATATCACGCTCGCAGAGATTTTGGTGGAATTCAAATATGGCTGATGATCCTTTCTACGACAAACACCCCATCAGCGACGAGGGCAACCCCTTTGGTGATGATAGCAGCTATATTGAATGGTACTCCGCCGCCGCCAAAGATACCCTTGGGCAGATCGCCTTGTACGCGAAAGCTCAGCTCGCCGCCCAGTTTCGCACGCACATTTTTCCATTCTTGTGTTCAAAACGTATCTCCGATTCCTTCGTTGGGACCGGTCCGGGCTGGTAGTCAGCGAAAGGGTTGGATTGGCTTTCGCATCCGATTTTCTTTGGCGCTAAACAATGCGTCTGCAAGCGCCCGTGGGCATGATGAGTTTGTTTCCGCAGTGGACGAGAAGGAGGACGTCGCTGCTATTAGAATGTCGCTCAACGTACCCCCACCACCCCCCTTGCTGCGCTTACCCTTTCTGCCGAATCGGACACCTATATTATTGGCAAACCAACATACCTCCACACCTCATCACTCACCGGGCGCTCAACACGATCAGTTCCAGCATACTGCGCGGAATCGAAGGAGATTGTCTGGCTGAAGGATACCTGGCGCATCCTGGGGCGTTGCGTACGGCGGAGCATTTGATCTACGAGAAACTCCATGCTGCGAAAGTGCCCTACATACCCCGCTGCAAGGGCGGGGCAGACATCGATGGAATCGGGACGCGGACACAGGAATACCAGAATAGGTCGTGGGCGCACCGACTCCAAAAGCCATTGCGAGCCCTGCAGCACTACCGGTTGATCCTCTCAGACATTGGACGGGATTGTACGCAATTCGCGACCGCGAGGGAGTTTGTCAGTGTGATTAAAAATGCGAGTGAGGGTAAGTGGCGGCTGTTCCATGTCCTCAGCTCGCTGTCGGTATTCAACAACCAATAACGCATGATGGTGCATATTTTGACGCCGGAATTCTGCACCACGACATCAGCGTCGGCAATATTTTGATCCTGGGAGTGGGTGCCGAAACAAAAGGGATGCTGATTGACTGGGACCTTTGTCAGGATCTCAATAATACCAACGATACCCCCGCGTTGTGAGTACTCACAACCAACCTAGGTGAATGGCACTCAACCTTTATGTAGGGGACATGGGATTTTATGTCGACCCGACTCAAAGAATGGCTACCCAATCCTGAGTCAAGCGCGCAGCCTGTTTTCAATTGTCTCGAGGATGATAGGGAATCTTTCCTACATGTGATGAACTGGGTGGCCTTGCGCTACATGCATCACGACAGGTCCGCAGAATCTCTCACCGATTTGCTCGTCGAGGCCTTCGAGAAGGTCCATTATAGTCATGGTGTATACTACAACTTCCGCTTCAGAGACCGGATGGACCTCCTCACTGGGTGGGCGGGCGTGAGGGTCGATTTTCAAAACGAGGCCATGAGGGCTCTCTTAGTACGCTTGGCAACTGATATGGCCATCCGGTATGACCCGAAGCAGGTATTCTGCCACGACGAACATCAGCACCTTGCTCGCGCTATGGAGGAAGCCAACAAGTTGATGCAAGCGCACGTCGTGACCCGCGGTTGGCTCACAGGAGTACTCGCAGAGGCGCTTGCTTCGGAATCGGGATGGGCACCGTTCGAAGGCCGGGTGGAGCATAGGCTTGTTCCTCACCATACCGCCCCCCGCGGCACGAAGAGGAAGAAAGGTTCGACAGGATACCAAGAGGACTTTGCCAGCCTCGATCTCACTGACGGTCCCAACCCGAACAAGTGGAGGCGAGTCATATTGTTGGACTGAGCTGGTTAGGAAAGGAAAAGAGCAGCGCTACTGGAAGTGCCAAGATACCACCTGCACATTCTATCTAGAAAGTTGACTAGCTATTAGTTGCTAGTGGGCCTCAGGGTTCTTGTCTTACACGATTCGAGCCAAAGCGGATCCCGATCTACCGCTCGCGCACTGGCAATCGTTCGCAGCCCTACTTACTAATTATACCAGATTGCGCTATAACCATTGGCGGCGCCATTTCAATGCGTTTCCAACCCCATGTCCCACTTACTATATAGTTCAAGTCAACGAAAACATTCCGGTTCTACATGTTGAAATATTTCTTCCACGCAAATTCATTATTGATGTTATGTTTTACACGCGATGAAGCAAAAAAGAGGTGATCTAGCGTTATGTATGTATCTATCACAGGGTTGTCTCGGGATAACGGTCGTCAGAGAATGGGAAAGGTCACAGCGATGGTCAAGGGAGAAGGCAGTAGTACATATATTTTTTAGGCGCTCCCTTGCATCCGCCCGAGGACACGCGGCTGGGAGACGTCGGCCATGTTGATGAAGATATCGTCGGCGGGGTGACGGTACAGAGGCGCACGGAGGCGCTTCTGGTCGAGATGGTGACCGATGAAACCGATGCTGCGACCGAGGACGAATAGGCCGTTGAGGGTACCGATCTGCATGGGTGAATGGGTAAAAGTGCATGTGTTAGAACAAGAGGGTGCATACCTTGATGTATTCGTCTGCTTCCTCGGGTGTGAAAGCACCGCTGTCACGGAGCAGATCGACGAAGCAAACGGCGATGCATCCATCAACGTTGAGAATAAGCTATTCGCAGACGAGGGAATTAGATCACAAACCGCAAAGGCGTAGGGAGTTCACTTACGGTGTCTTTCTTTGATGTGGTGACCTGCTCCACAGCAAGAGCGTAGTCTAGAAGGCTGTGGCTGGGGAAGTTCTTCCTCACGTACTCCTTGACGAGCTCGACACGCAAGTCAGGGTTGCTGGCGCTCTTGATTTTATGACCAATACCGCTGACTGTAATCAATCGATCAGGCTTGTATCCATGAACGAGTACTCCTGAAACTCACTGAGCTTGTTAGCTTTACGCGAAACATCCACAA